AACCAATTTGTAACCCCGTTTACTCGTCGGCGAGCTTCCAATACAAACTTTGCTCTTCCGGCTGTTCGAAACTGGGCTTTTCAACCGCTGTCGAATTTCCCATAAGTGCCAGACGCACGCATTAATTGGCACAAAGGAGAAGTGTGCTTTTATTTTGCGTGATTTTCAATTGTTGCATTCGTGTCGGGATGCGACAAAATTAGTCGATTCATTGAACTAAAACAAAAGTCGTATCACTCGTAGACACGGGTTTAATGTTTTTATTTTGTAATTACAAGCACCTACGTACTTGTTGCATAATAATCTCAATTTTAATCTCTTGACTCACAAAATGAAGAAATATTTATATCACATTATCGATATTCGTCGTTTCAGAAAAAAAGTTTGATCTTCATTTAGACTCGAATATCCCTCAATTCCACTATTCCGACATTTATTTACCGCAATAAATTTTCCGAATTGGCGCGAATTCGATCGAAAGGACCGAGCAAACATTCGTTCGTTTGATTGAAATTAGGGATGGGTTCGAAACTAATTTTTGAAGTCTCGGAACTCGAATACGAAACTTGTAAGATTTCGAAGCTCTCGAAACTGTCGAAACTTTCTTAGGTTTCGAGGGGTTTTGAAGTTTCGAGTAAAAGTGTCCTAATCTAAATGCACCATCAGACGAATGCTGCATCCACTCGACAGATCTCTGATGCATTATGTAAGTATAATGCAGAGATAAGCCCCACGGGACAGCAGAGGGACAAAAGGGAATAGTCATTCACTCACCATTACACAGGGCTATCCGATTCTGTTTGTCTGTGTGACAGTTTCAGATCTTTCAACGTCTTTATAGTTAAAACTAAACTACCAAAGTGGCTAAAATGGCTAGTGTATAATTTTTGTTTGTGTATAATTTATGTACTCTATGTTATATTATCAAGTTTTTCTATTTTTTTAATTTAACTAATACCTCTAACGGAAGTTTTATACTTTAATCGTCGGTAGTTTTAGTGTCTATCAAAAACGATCAACCAGGCCTACATTCCTTTCTTATGTCAAGACGTGTGCGTCTAACGCTTATTGGAAATCTCACATTACAAGGTGACTCACCTACTATTACCAGTTTACGTCATTATCATTACCACTACCCGCAGCGAGAAGTGTTACAGTATAATGTGCATAGTATCGAGATATTCCGTACTTTCGTGTTATTAACTTTCCTGCGGGTGGACAAATAAAGGATTTGTAAATTTGTCAATTTTGATTTTTTAAATGGAACCGTATGCTTTTCAATATATTGACCGATGCAGCTTGACATTTTTGATAAAAGTATATTAAATCATGCAGGTCGGAAGATTAACAATTTAAGAGATATTTCATTTATTTCGCAATAATACACGGTACGAAAGACATATATAATAAAAATTAAAATAATAACAAAGTTTACAGTGAAATTACAATGAAATTTGTAACAAAATTACATATATAATTCCCGGACATACACGTATCGTGCTCAATGTACTTAAAAAACGTACGACTCGATTGAGAAAAATCAAAGCTAATCTTTACAAATCCCTCACTCGTCCATCCACAAAAAGATTAACAACGCCGGAGTATGCACATCTCGAGATCATTCGTCTTTCCTTCGAATATTTCTCGCTGCGCGTAATGATAATGACGTAAATAAAGATGGTAATATCAGGTGATACGTCCTGCAGATGGCTGGCCGATCTCCGCAAAGATAAATTCGCTCGTTACAACAGCAGTGTAACTTTCGTCGGGCGACTTACGCGACGATCGTTGCACAACTTCAAGTCAAGTAACCCGCAGCACCGATGCTAATAAACACGCGACACCATGGTCGATTCGGTTTCTACGTGACCTCCGTGTTTCACCCATAAAACGCGGACAAATCGTACGTCTCGCGCGGATGCTGGAGATCGAATCTCCTACGCCCGTACGGCGTAATTGTCGGCGTTGTATTTTTTTTTTTTTTCTTTTCTTTTCGAAAGTCGTGCCAGGACACCGTGATCTTTTTCCAATGGACAAATACACGCGACTAATATTTTACAGCGGCGCGAAGACAATGCACGATAATGCACTTAACGATCGCGCTCGTTTCTGCACTGCGGCTGGCTTGCATATAAACCAGCTTGATCTCTCCTCGTGATCTCTATACCGTTTCAATCGCGTTGGAAAAAATTTTCCATTAAATCGGTCGTTGCCCGATCGCCGCGCGCTCGCCCGCGTAAATCAATCGTCGCTACCGATAAATCATCCAAAACGCGTTCCGTAACCCGCGGCCGCAATCGAAATCGATTAATCATCGGTAAATCCCTCGAGAGGTCGAACCACGCGGAAAAAACGCGTGTTTGGGTATACAGGAAACGTTATTAGTGTTGCCAATTGAGTGACGAAATCCTCGAATATGGGAAACCGGTTAATACAAACGGAGTAAACAGAGTGTCAACGACACCGGAATTTTTATCACGAATTTTCACGAGCTGTGTGACCAGCGACGATTATCGTTCCCAAGGCGAAATTGATTCTCCTTCTTACCCCTGTTTATCTGTCACTTGCCATGGAATTTAATTATTCTCCCACTGTCTATCTAATCGCAGACGGACTCGATAATGGCCCGTATTTACTCATCGCCCGTAACATCGTACGTAACAAAGTTCGCCGAGCGGGGAAAGACGATCACCACCATCGCGCATGAGGGTACGATCTAAATCGTGAGTAAACAGAAGTGAAATTTTTTTCATTTCCAAGCTCCCACGCGAGTGTTTCAAACCGCCATCGAATATTCGACGTGAGAAGAAATTCCAATCAGGCACTGGCCGCGTCTAGAAAGATTTAGATTTTACGAAACGCGACGTTGATCGTTTTCAAATTTAAAGCTGATCTCTCGTCGAACCTTGACCCTGATCCCTTTTGAATCACTCACGATAGCGCAGCATCGTTCAATTTTATTGGCCATCTAATCCGCTTTCTGCGCTCGAAGATCAAAGAGAATGGAAGATTCCGGAGGTGGATGAGCCTCTCTTGCTGTCATACCTCTCCCCGTATTTCATTTCAAGCAAGGAAGGAGCTTTGAAACACTGTCAAACGAAATATCGTTGTACGATCAAAGTGGCCAAGGTTTTTTCCCACCATAAATGAATCCCTTTCATGGAGGAACGTCCGACTATGTTAAACACACGACCGCGAGAAAAAGAAAGAGAGAGAGAGAGAGAGAGAGAGACCGTGCACGAATAAATGTCGCGACGCGAACGGACAGAAGCCGTGTTTGTAATTGCGATAACAACGTCGTTATTCACCGACCTTTCGAAACCAACGGCGCGGGGAAATCAATCTTTTTTCATCGTTCGCGAAACATTCTTTAAGATGAATTACGCGCGCACCGGCGCCATTGGCGGGAACGTTTAGGGAACACAATGATAAAGCTGCATAACGAACGATACATCGGTTTTCGAGTAATTGGACGCATTGTGAGCACGTTCAGCGCCGGACAAGTTAATTCCAGCTGCCTTTTGTCCGGCCGCTGATAAATTATTTCAAGTTCTAGCCCCGCGGCCTTCGCCCGCCGCTATCAGATCGGACCGACTCGCCGAGGGATAAGTGAAAACAGACGGTCGTTTCTTCGGCTTCGAATCGTTTTTATTCAATTACTCGCTCGACCTCTGTGCTTAGGAGAGATTTAACCTCTTAACGATCTAATGAAATTACGAATTCCGATAAGGAGGAAAAAAATACGTGCCGCTCACATGCCAAATCGATTAACTCTGCCAAATAAGAAAAGTGGTGAAAAGTGACAAAGTAGCATACGTTGTTCTTTGAAATATAAATTCAAATAAGCGTTGTAGAATTATTATTACATTCCTGAATTCGATGTAAAATGTATGAGATAATATATCCTTGGAGTAAATTAGTATAGTTTCTACGTGGCTAAGCGAGTTAATCTATTTGACAAGTGAAAATCATTAAAACGTGTGATACTGGAAAAAAATTTAGTCCAAATTTCGTATCTATCGTGCATTCACATCGGCAATTATGTAACAGACTCTCTCTGCGAATAAAAGTCTAGTTAAATGTAAAACTTTTTCCACTCGTTTTATCTTAGACGAAAATATTCTGGAATATTTCGTGACCAGGACATCTAATTTTATCAAAGAGAACCGAACATATCATCGTGTTCGACTCTTAACAGTATTTGACTGGCTTACTCGAATAGACAACTATTAAAAGACAATAGTAAAAGCGTTAATTGGATAACGACGCAAAGTGTATTCGAGATTCGGGCGTGAAATATCGAGTGACTCGAGTTACACCGTGGTAATAGAGAAAAGAAGTCTCGGGAAGATTCAGCAGATCGAAAGGGGGACGCGTGTTTTTCTTGCAGCGTAATCGGCGCAGAAGCTCGTGGCGGTATGCTACGCCCTAAAAAAGCGCGTTTGAATGGGATCTCGAGTGTGGCATAAAACGAAAGGCACGCGAGAAAGAAACTGCAGACTACCACGAGTTTCGAGTGTTCATCGACGAGAGGCTCGCAGCTGGCAGCCACGCGAAGTGTCGACGGTAAACCAACCGTCCACGGAGAAATTCTCCTACGGATTGGAAACGTGTACACGCACGCGCGCGGTCGCAGGGATTGTTTCTATTAAGCGGCTCGAGATCAAAGGATCCAGATGTTGCAGACTGCGATTAAGTAGGTCTCTGTTCTCCTTCCGGACGGTTCTTTCGGTCCGTGTAGAGGACGGCGTGTCGCAATGAGATGCAAATTCGCTTATTAACCCTTATCGCCGTGTAAAAATCTCATGGGCTGACCACGGAGGAGCGTTGGCCCACCCACGACCTCTAAAAAAGAAAAACGGCGATTAATTCCTTTCTTCTTTTTCTTTCTTTCTGAATTTCTTCGCCGCCAGCACGAACTATCGCCCCGGTGTATCTTAGATAGCATTTCATCCCGAATACTTCAGCTAAAATTCATCAAGATTTCTTTCTTCGTTTAGGACTACAACGAGGACGAGGACGAAGAGGAAACCCCGACCACCACGCCGGCCACAACGACCACCACCACCACCACGACCACCACTACCACTACCACCACCACTCCCAAGCCTGTGGTTACGCAGAATTACGATTACCGGGACCCGAAGACGTACGAGGGTGGGACAGGAGCACAGTACAACGGGTACCAATCGAGAAGCGACTATCCATCGATGTCAGCGCACAGCGTTCACAAGTGGCAGTCTCTGGGCACTCGAGAGAGCGTCAAAGAAACCAGAAGCAATATGCAGCAATACAACAAGAACGGGAAGAGTAAGTTGGCTCCGATCTACGCGACGTACCTCGATGTTTCAGCGGAGAAAGGAAAAAAAAAAAAAGAAAAGGAAAGAGTCACATGCAGGGGGAATCCCGATCGCGTAGAGAAAAACCTTGCTTCGGCAACCGCGCGGTAATCGAAATTCCATCCTGTCGATTTATGCAAATATTTGCAGCTCGCCCTCGAAACAGCACCTGTCCGGCTCTCCTTCTTTTACAGCTATATCCGTCATTAATCGCTATTAAATCGACGATGGTGGTCTCGCCAACCACGCTGCCAATTATTCCACGAACGTAATATCAGATAAAAAGCGGCCGAGTCGATCTTTAACTACGTCCTGACTAGAAGCTAATAGCTAAAGTAAATGCCGTAATCGGCGACGAAACGAACTTCGCGAGCTTGTTAAAAATTTTATGCTTTCGTGTGTCCGCCGGACGAAAAAAAAGCTCGCGGATCGAATCGGGATCCTCCGAATTTTAAAAATGGTACATAAACAGTACCATTGCAGCAGTATAATATTTACAGGAAAAAGAAAACTCCTATAGTTCGTTTTCATATTTATCAACAAATTACTACATGTTAAATTAGGCCAGTGAAATGATAGCACACTTTCGAAATTGTAATGTAATTATACATGTATACAAATATTATATTGCTACAATGTACATTCACAAAATTTGGAGGATTCGATCCTTGAAAATATCTAACGACAGCACATGTGTGTCAGTCTTTCTTTTCAGGAGCGTAGAGAAGGCGATGCGGCTTAGTGGAATCAAAGCGTTCGCGTTTTCTAATCGTCCGCGACATAACTCTTCCTTTTCGATCGACAGCTGGCTCACGCTCGCTCGCGTAACGACGCCCTATTAATATGCAAATTAATAACGACGATTGCGCGGTTGCGGCAACTTTAGCCACCCTTCGTCCGAACTCTCTCGTATATTACACGGGTTGTGTATCTGCGCGCCATCCTTCCCTCCCTTTCCCGCTCGCTGTTCCGCGTTAATTCATATCGAGCCGCTCGAATCGATTTGCCGCGCTTCGGACACGCCGTCTACCGATGCTCGCTCGATCCTCGCCTGTTGCACACTCTCCCGGCAATTCTATCGCAAGGGAGAGATTCGCGTGGCGAATCAAATGTAACTTCTTGCGGCTATTGCGTCCGCCGCGATAAATCAAGACCGCGATAATTCGGCGGAGGACAGCCTCGTTGGAAACGAAGCCAATCCATCCCGATGGAAAAAAAAAAAAAAAAAACCGGGACAATCGCAGATCTAATCCGTTTCTCTTGCAATACATTCCAGAATACGTTTGAATACGGGATGTGCGGTGAGCGAGCATACTTTAGCTTCCCTCGCGGTCGTGCCTCTATTGTAAACGCGCCGATATGATCTCGTGTCAGTGCAGCCCGTGGCGAGAGTAACGCCTACGTTCGGAATTAGCATACAGCCAGATCCCCGGCGGAGATCGAGCCAAGAAAATAATTCTCCGCCGCCGAGATATTTCCGAAACTTCACCCCTCCCAGTCGCTTTTATTCACACTTCCGCGCCACGCGTCGCCGCGGCCGTTCGTACGTCGATTGAAACACATCGTGATATGCCATGATCGTTTCATGCCCGCTCTCTCGTTGAATCAGCCTCTATTCTTTCGCGATCCTCGCATCACGACAAACGGAAATCTCATCGGCCGAAACGGACCAGGGAGAACTGGAGAACGCACTTCCTCGAATAAACGAGCGGCGCGGCGCTTCCTCGAACCGCAACCTCGACTGCTCACAATTTCGCGAATCGCACAACCCTCGTTTTATCTTCGCGCGCGGTTAACTCTTTCACAGTCGTGCGTGCACGTGTACACTCGCTGATAAACGACAGTGTAATCTCTCCTAGCTGTGAATGACGAGTATACTCGTTACGCGAGAAAATTTAATTACAAATTGTTACTTGAATTAAATGTTTTTGTGGGAAATATGTTTAAGTAAATTTCAGACATTTTCGAGTATTCCGAGACTAGACTTGACTAGCTCTTTTTCACATCGTTTCTAAATATTTTCTTGCTATTAATATTAATCAATATTAAACAATGAAGTTATTGATTTTTAATAAAAAGGAAAAAAACTGTTTGGCGAAGTATAATCGTCGTCGCGTCGTTCCAGCGACACAATGCAGATACAGAGCTAAGAGGTTAATAAACGCCGAGTGGAGGATGCGTCAGCAAAATTGCCGATCATCTCCGGGTTCGCCGATCGACCGCAATAATTTTCGATTAGATACGACGGTCTGATCGCGACGTCTAACTGGAACCGAATTGGCTCCGAACTTGGCTTTATTAACCCCCGTCGATCGCGATCCGGCGAGTCTTGCTACCAGACAAGCTATGAATCTCTAATTTACAGTGGTCGAGACGCCGTCGAGGAAACTTTGTTACCGCGTTTTGCTAAAAATATCGCGCTTCCAGTTGATCGTGGCCAATTGGCTACGTAACCGTCTCAGCGATGCTGTTTTTATTCACGCGACGATTAGCGAGCGTTTATATCTTCGTATCTTCATCTAAGGAACGCGCATTAACGTTCACTCGATTCTTCCTGGCGTTTCTTCTTCGCGGCTGTTTGCGCCAGAATTTATTGATTTCTCGTAGTTTCTCTCCTGTAGTCGCCCATACAAATTGCAGCGAGCGATAGCCGCGGCATAATTATCGACGCTCCGTGAAACGCGTAGAAAGCGATTAGGTATCCGCGGCGCTGAATCAATAGAAAGCTCGCATGACTTATGTCACCTGCCTTGCAAAGATCCGTTTTGAAATACCGAGCCGAGCTGTCACATATTCTCGGTATCCGCGCGTCTAACGCCGAAGGGAGTAGATCTCTTTTCCACTGACCGGACTTTCCTCGATTTGTCTCGAAGAGCAAATTGTTGGTGAAACGAATCGACGAACGAACTGTATATAAGTGTGTGTGTGTGCACGTGTGTGTTTCAGCGGCAGAAATCCGAGAGGCTCTTCAACACGCGATGAAAGTGTCGCGAGAGGGTAGCTGCCGGTGGCCACGACCGAGGGTGATACCAGTCCGCGATGTCTACCCAAGCCCGTCCACCACTTACATTCCACACTGCGCCATCTTGCACAGGTGCTCGGACGACACCGGATGCTGCAGATCGGAAGCGCTCACCTGCGTGCCGAAGCACTCACACCGCGTCGAGCTCTTCTTCTACGTGAGTAAATCTTCCATTCGTCCCGATGCGAATCGCGCGCCGCTATTTGCCACGGTGCTGCACCATGCAAATTGACGTACGAGTTGGACAGAGTGCGCGGTCGCGGGCTCGTTACACGATAGATAAATCGCGCATAAGAGAGAGAAAGAGAGAGAGAGAGAGAAAGGAGAGTGACAGAGAGAAAGAGAAAGGGGGGAAGGGAAGACGTAAATAAGCAAGTACGTTGCATCGCGCAGAACGATGGATGCCACGAAGCAACAAGGAAGACTTTATCGTCAAGGAGAAAGTACCATTAATCGTGTAAAGTGTATTACGGAGAATTTATTAGCGAGAAGCCAAGGAGTCGCGGTATAACGACGTGATTTACGGGACACGCTATCGCCAATATCAAAACGCGCAATGTCCCAACTGATTTGAAACTTTGTCCGACGGGGGGCACACGCGAGTTTTCTGCCTCGTTGCGTACGCGCCGGTTAATGAACAGCGACGTTATCGGTGAACCGCGAATTCGATGACTGGACAAAATACGTTTATCTAGCACGGACTAGAAGAAAAAAATATTGGCCACGTAAATTTCTTGGCTTTCATTTGCCTGACCATTAGTGTCACGGGAAACGGGTACGCGTAGCCCGTGCGTTCGTTGGAACGCTTACGTATATACAGGGTGCTTTGTAACTGGTGGTGCAACCGAGGAAGGATTGATTCTACGTGAAAAAAAAAAAAAAACGAGTTGAGAAAGAAAGGATAAAATTTTTTCATTCGAACCTTTGTTTTCGAGAAGATCGAGTTTGAAAATTGATTAATTTTGTGAATGATCGACACGAGAATATTCTATGCAAAGAAACAAGTAAGAAACGGTAGAGTAAACTTTACATTTAAGGTGTCATTTTTAGAAGATACGTTTCCTCAAAAATTGCTTTGGCATACTTGATAAATTTTCAAATTCGATTTTCTCGCAAACGAAAGCTTTAAATGGAAAAATTTTATTGTTCCTTTTCCACGCATTTTTTTCACGTCAGAATCAGCTCCTACTCGGTTGCCCACTAGTTACGAGACACCCTGTATCTTTCCTTATCTCTGGCTGGCTACGCGACCGCGCGTGACTGAGTGTCAGAATTTATCGGGGTGTTCGTCACGCTGGCTGCAACCGCGGAACACCAACAATCCTTACCACAACTATGTATTTGTCAATTTGTATTCGAAATTAAACGCGAGTCTTCCGGGTCGACGTCTGATTCGATTCGTTCAATGCGTACGATATACGCATTCTCGCGTCGATACACCAAGAATCACTTACGAACATCGACGCGTCCTTTTGAAATCGATATGGCCGTAATTAAGCGGACGACACGCGCCTTCTCCCATGGTGGTCTATCGCGATACGTCGCGTTGTGTCGCGCTGGCCACGCACCACCATGTATTTATGCACGAAATCGATCCCCCCCCCCCCCACTAAATTATCGGTTCTCCAACCTATATATTACGCTTGATTGTCGTCGATGCGCCAGCTTAAAGTCTCTCCCCAATTCCCCGCGCGTGTATTGCAAAAACGATGCTCGTTCCGCTCTTGTAACGATCGACTTCGACGAGATATAGAAGTTATTTATTCATTGGTAATTAATATGGATATTGAGCTCGTGTTATACTTAACTGAGGAAAGAAAACAAAAAGAGAAAATGCAGTTAGGAATTACAACGCAAAGAGCTATAATGAAGTATAATATAATATGAACATCGTGCTTGTTTATTATATTACAGAACCATTCATTATTATAATTTATAATGCATTCGTATTATTGTTTATCCAATTGGGTATATCCCGTGTATGAATAAATAAATAAGTTTAATGGATTTTTTAAAATACGTGACAATGAAAATGTATAAAATACAGATAAAACAGATAGAAAAAAGAAGGATCAATTCGATCGGTAATTGGCTCGTCAAATCTAACAATAAGATCGTGTTAAAAATTTGGCTCGAGATACTATGGTGTAAGTATAGCGTGCATACTAATTCAAAATCTCTGTGGGTTGTTTCTTCTCGTGAAAAGGATCGCCGACGAAGAACGCATTTTCGATCCATATTTTCGTCATTTCGCAAACCGGTAGTCAGGATTGTGCAACCGGTCGCGGATGCAGGTTAGGTTTAAAGACGCTCTTCGTGCAACCCGATACTTTCCAGCACCGTTTTATGCCGCGATTATGAGACGATTCGATCGATGCGCCTCTTTTCTTTCCTCCAGCTTCCAATTCAGTTAACCTAACCTAATTTCACATGCAACATCGATAGATCTCGCAGAAACGCCTCGAATGGAAATTTTGAAATCCTCGATACTTCAGTTTATGCTTCATTGGTTGATCCATTGCATTATCTCGTACTAATAAACATGTAACCGTACTAATAAACTGTTACCGTAAATTGTTAAAAACCAATTGACTCAGTTTCTTCGACTTATCGCCGAGAGATAATCCAATGACTGGGTTAATTAGGTGGTAATAACCTTTCATCGAATGCAGCTCGTCGTTGATAATACCGTAATCGAGAACGTCTCGATGATTTTTCCAATATTTCTGCATTTACGCAAAGCTCGAAAGAAAAAGAAGGAACACGTATGAAGGCTAACTGTAAATATTCGAGACGGTCGATAAAGGTCATTAAAAAGCGTGTACCTATAACGAATCGATCGTAAAGCGTAAAACGGTTTTTGCGCTCAGTAAAACGTGTGCTACAAATGTAAGCGCGATTCCTTTTGATATATAAAATCTCTGATTAATAACTTTGATAATTAATGTAACTTTAATAACGTTCCTTTGTGTTCGATTGAGTCATTCTAAAAGAAAGAGAAATAAAATAGAAAATTTGTAGGGATTCCAGATTCGTCCTATTTTCAAAGCTTCCTTATCGAGTGAGTGTAACCTTCGTTTAGGCGAGGAATCAAAGTTCACCGGAAGTATGGAGCGTGTTCTGCAGACGCGAGACAGCGCGGCCATAGATTTTCAGTGACGGAGGGTCGGCTCGAAACGAGTCGTTAAACTTCACTAGCGATCTTAATGAATCAATTAATCCTGATGGATCTATTGCATTCCTACTGGACTGCAATCCACGAACCGTGGATTAGATTGAACTACATTCCTAGACGATCTTCCTACGAACGTAGCATCGTGCAGTCAAGCTGTTCTTATCTTATTTCTTCGCCAACTTCCTCTTTATATTTATTATATCTATATTTATGGGCAATGATCCTTTGATCACACCCAACAGCCACTGAATTTATAAAACTTGCTTGCGGATAGCAGAATTCTTGTCCGAAATAACTTAAAACAATTCACTTCGATTTTATTATTTCATACGGGATAAATGTCTGCCCTATAAATAAATGATGCAAAAATGTACATTTATACGACACAAAGCGTAAAGACTACGGAAAACACAATTAGAATAACATAAATGTAATAAACGTATGTATACAGTTGCAAAGTCAATTAGAACAGAGAATAAGAAATTAATACCAAGTTAAACTGTATAATAAATAACAAGCTTGGATTAGTTTATAGCCCAAGCACGCCGAATGGTATTCAAACAGTTGGCGCTGATCCAATGTTTACAAATGGCGTTTTCGACATTTTGACTATGTTCTTTGCCAGAGCCAAAAGATCAATATACGTAAATATAAGTAAAACTTGTTGAAACATCGCGTACGATGTTCCTATGACGCCGGATCGCCGGATGGAAATGAAAATCATCGCGATATAAATCGCAATAAGCGGGCAATTGCCAATGCAAAGGTGCAACAACGCTACGAATGTAATTTGCATTTTGCAGCAATTACTGTTCCGAGCTTCGCCAGGCCGACATTGGCATAAGTTCTCGGCGACTGTTGTGGGAATCGGCGGTGGGTCGTGTACTGCCAGATCGTACTCTCGGATCTTTATGAATTAACGTTCGCGTTGAAATCGTCGAGTGGTTTCTCTCGATCCTCGTGACCATCGACTCTTCAGGTTCGAGCGTTCGAATTTCGTGTTTTGCAAAGACGGAACCGATATCTAGCTTAAACTCAGCCACAGTGATAAAGTGGACACTCGCGATTGTCGATCGTTCAACCTCACAAGGCGAACGTCTGCACGCAAGAGCAATGAGAGAAGGTAAAAACAGTGAGAGAAGCTCTCAAGAAAACAAAAAAATCCCTCGATTGGGCATCGAGCCGTTGAACGCGATTGAAACGACCGCTGTTGATCGATCGCGTGCTCGCGAAAGGTATTTCATATAAAACGCGAAAACGTTAATTGCACGTCGAAAAGCTGGTATCTACTTTCTAAAGCGTACTCTATCTTGGCAAGGATCGTTGGACGTATCGTTTGATGGTACACCCACGCAGAAAGTACGGGCAATCAGCGGCACAAACCGATTGTATATTGTGATAAATGTATGTACAGACCCAGATCCACCGGGGACCACTGCTCGGGAAGAAGCTCATAAATTTAATAAGAGTTTCTCTTAATAAGAGTACATTGAGTTTCTCTCTCTTTTTTCTTTTTTTATTACATCGTCGAATCATGGAATGCGAACAATCCTGGTCGTAACTCGCGCAATGCCATTAAACCGTTATATCAATTACCGAAGCGAAGCTGCTGACGAAGCATAAAAACGCGTCGAGATATGATACTGGTCGACGAAAACTTCTTTGGTTACAAACGAGCGAGACTTATTACAGACTCCAAAAAAAAAAGACTTCGCGAAGCAGAAACGTTCTGATAATTGCGCGTAGTGAATAATTCCCAAGCGAAGCTGCGTGATCCATTTGTCATCTATAATTATCGCGAGCAACTCCTCGAGTTGCCACCTGTCCCACCCTGACCGACTGTCAAAACGATACACGAATTACAACTTTGTCACTAACGGCTCTTCCGTCCACGAGTGAGTAAGTTTCACAAACAGAATTGAAAGTTGGCCGAGTATCAAATTTGCCTCAGACGCGGATGTGCAGGTTTCTTGCGGCGCTCG